ATCTTGCATGTAATCTTTTCATTCTTTCTAAAGACAATCCTTGTTCTCAATGTGGCCATGATTAGAGTGAACTTCATTTCAATTCAAACTTTTAATCCAGGAATGTTTATATATCATTTAAGTAGTTAGTTTCTAACGTTTAAACCAAAGAATGCTTACAGCTCATGAATCGAAGTGATATAACTGTCTACAGCTGTTCAGAAGTATCTTGATAAATTTTACTTTTGCTTTTTCTATTATTTTGTAAAAACTTCAATCTCAATCCTGTCACTTGCACAGTAAAAAAAAATGGAAGAAAAAAATATGCGGATGTTTGTTCAAGATTTTTTTTTAATTGCCAAGAATTATCTTACATACATCGCAGATAAGTTTTAGCCCCAAAATATATCCTCAAATTAATGAATAAATTTTATTACTCTCATAATAGATATCCAGTTGAATTTTGATTTGACCATATGATTTTTTCAAGGTATCGGTTATAAAAATATTTTTAAAAAATATTCTTAAAAATAAATTCTGACTGTGAGAGACTTAATCTTTGCACATAATTAATCATTCCTTTTTCTCGTAATTTACCAGTAATATTTATCTTAAATCAACTGTTACATAACAGACATTAAGTAGCGTATATGTTCTACCACATACCTTTTTTATGTGCATGCTATTTTAAAAGTGTTAGGCTATTTTTAAAGGTGCTAGGAAGGACTTGCTTTATATTATTCAGCATGATATTAAACAGATTCAGTTTATGGTGGTATAGAGATGCACCTAACAATAGGAATCACTATATATCTAACATTGTAATTTATATAGTTAATAAATCACTACCTGCTCGTTTTTCTGAGAAACATGACAAAATGTGACGTTCATGTTCACTGTCAAAAGGGAAAGTCTGAAAATAGGAAACAATATAAACATTAAGATTTTAAAAATAAAACCCGTTAGATAACCATACAAGATGCCATGTTAATTTTAGTACTTTTGTGTAATTTAATAATTCATGTAATAATGTAATGCCAATATATTATGAAGAAACAAATCATGATTAGTAAATTTAATACTATGTTCATAGCAATGTTTCACTTTATAAAACCTAACTACCCTTGTAAAATAGACAGTCTTAGGAAAAGAAAATTGTTTTAATTATTTGTCTTTATATAATTCTTTGAGCACTGAGCTCACTAAATGACACCCCCGCCTCCCGTATGATTTTACTGACAAAGTTCATGTTTTGCGCTGGGGCACTCTATTATCTAGATCTAAAAGTAAAAATAGAAGGTGCACAATGACATTATGCAATCAAGAATATGTAATGTATCATTAAATTTAACTATTGATATAAGAGGAGTTGAGAAAGAAAAGGATACCCTTCAATACTATAGAAAGAATGACAGTCTTCATGTTTTTTTTTTCTGGGAAACCGAATATATGTTGCGGATCAAAAAGTAAAAGGTGCATAATGGCACTATGTAACAATTTAAAGATTCTTCGAAAGTTTCATCTAATTTCATTCAGTGGTATGAGAGGAGTTGCGGATAAGATCCCCAAAGCGTAACATAAGAACAGACGGGCGTACATACAGACCGACGAACATCGCTATTACTATATATCCTCCAAATTTTCAAATGGGGAATAATAAAATTACAAAAGTACACTTTAAAATTCCAAGCGATTACATTGTTACATTTTATTAACCAGTTTGACAAGATGAAAAGAATAACATTTTAATACATCAAAAGAATTGGTTGACCACTGAATTAGATAAAAATAAGAAATTCAAAATTTTTGATTCTTTAATTCTCATACTTCGTTTCAATGTCACTGGGTGCCATTATGATGATAGATTGATTGATTGATTGATTGATTGATTGATCGCATGTTGTTTCTATCCCATTTAAATATACTTCACCCATAAAGAGACATTTCCATCAATATCAAACATTAAACAATCAATTAATCAATATGTATCCTGTTATGTAATTACTTTATGAATAGGAAAGTGGTGGAACTTAAAGAAAAAGTAAATTTAATAGAGGACTTATTTGTTTACCTTTTGTGTTTGTCAATGATTAAGCTTTTTTACCAAGTCGACTTTGTCAAATTTTTATTGTGTTTTTTTTTTTCATTGAGGCACATTGAAAACGACCAAATGACTACGGCTTTTATTATATAATGCTCTTATATAGTGAAAAAAAAAACTTTCTTCGAGATCATCTGCTGTAAAATTATAGAACCAAACACACTTTCAGTAATTATGACAGATGGAAAAACGTTTCATGAAAGTAAGACTAAAACCTGGAGTTAAATACTCCACTATAGATTGTCAGATAGATTCTCTTGAGGTATTTCTATCATCCTATGATATCATAGGTTTTGCAAAAACTGTTTTTAATTAAAATTCATACCCAATAGAACAGAGCAATATCTTTTGGAAGAATGCTTTTCAATATGTGTGATGATAAATATTGTTAATAAAAGAAATTTTTAAATGTATATTTTCTTTTTTTAATCAATCACTCAAACTTTTAAAAATGTTGACGAGAGCAATAACTCCTTCTCGTGTATCTTTATTCAGACATTTCTTGACTGTACTTCTAAAGTAAAATAGTTTTCCTGATATTCACAGTTCAAAACAATCTCATAAGTTGCAAGTATTTTGCAACTTTCTGCATCAGAATTATGCACTTGAACCAGTTTTTTTTTTATATAATTTTAATAATAATGTTTACAAAAAATGTACGATTTTTATGTTGACACATACTTATGTTTATTTCAGGTCTTCCAACAAAATATTGGAAGTCTCGTGGGTTTCCAATTAAGCCCCGTAATTAACAGACCTATGTCTGTATTCATATGAAGCAGACTGTTCAAGATCTTTTAAATAACAAGAATAGATATGGGTTACCCCATATCCAAAGATATTCGACTGTTAGATTTAATATGTTTAACAGTGTTTATAATGACGTTAATAAAAAAAAACTGCACTGTCTAATTGTGGAACTGTTGTAAATATCGTGATTCCATAGCATTGAAATCTCCTAACAAACAGTACACATTACATGTACCTGTAGCCTTGGTGTGCAATGGAGCTGTCACACGCATTTTTTGTTTTGCCGAGAAGTTACGGTGTCACAAAACTTTTCTAATTAGATCATATAAATACGAATTCTGATTAATAAAAATTATACAATCCCTGTTGAACTTTATATAGTTTGTTCTAACATTTGCATCCGCAACAACTTGTGTTTAAAACGGCCGGGTTGGGAAAATCAGGACCGGGTCGGAAAATTCTAAACTGAAAACATGGAAAACCTTTTTTGTTTTGAAAATAACTGAAATATACTAATATATTTGTCGCAGAAATTACTTACATTATTCAAGTTCTATATATAATGGTATGCTGAACTTCAACACGAACCCGAATCTCCAACCCATGCAGTTCTCGTTTTGCCACACATACCCTACAGTTTACAAAGTGTACACACGAGCAGGCCAGGGATTGAAAATTCCGTCATTTAATAATACACACACACAGAATGATTAATTTTTTCTTTAAGAACAAATTGTATGATAGTTAACGGACTATAATCATGTACTTAATACAATTGTTGATATAGTATTATCAATTCATTGGTGAAAAGATATGTATCGAAGAATGACCTAATTATTCTTTGTTATCAAACACGTAAAAAAAAAAGGCTGAGGAGGGAGCGAGCGTAGGAATATTGATATTTTTTATTTGCATTTCGGGGGGAAAGTGTTCTAATGATATTTTGACGTTATTTTTGATTTCTTTAACGTATGACATACACAACTTTACTCTTATCATGAACAATAATGTTGTATCTACTTATCATGATGGAATTATTTTGGTCGGACCAATATGTGTGAGCTGCCGCTGAATACAGTTATATATCTTGCAAAGATAGTATGCATTGATCGAATATATAGAAAAGAAAAACACATTTGATAGGCCTTCAGCTCGACATTTAGATATATCGACGACGTATTGTCAATTAACAATACTTATTTCCATTCTAAGGTCGACACAATATATATATCCTGGTGAGCTTGAAATAAAAAATATCACAGGGTCTGACACATCTGTTTCATATTTGGATCTTTAACTAGAAAAAAAAGACGTTAATGGTTACCTAACAACAAAGCTTTATGATAAACGTTATGACTTAAACTATTCAATATTTAAATTCCCTTACTTATACAGCAAGACTGGTATACAATGTATACATTTGTCACCTGCATACGGAGATTTTATATCTCAGTTGATTCGAAACGAAAGATTATGTTCTGCGTATGAACAATTTCAACAACGAGGTAAATTATTGACAAACAAGTTGATGAAACAAGAATATCAGCAGTCTCGTTGAAAGTTATCATTTCGTAAGTTCTATGGTCAATACAATGACCTTGTCAGCAAATACGGTTTATCATTAAGTCAAATGCTGACTGACGTTTTTCATATTGATTTTCAGGCCATTGTTTACACACTGAGTTGTCCATGGATTTTTGCTGTTATTTCCCTATCATGACAAGGAGCACATGGCGGGTTTGACCGGTCAGCAGTGGATGCTCACACCTCCATGCACCTGCTCCCACCTCTGATGTTTTGGAGGTCCTTGTTCGCTCCGCTCCTATTTTGTAGTGTTTAACGGAGTTTGGGGCTGGAATACTTTTCGTTATCTCCACACATCTCATCTTAAGAAATATGGAAACCTGTTCATTTTTTGCAGTAACTGGTAAATTTGAACTATAATGCAGTTTTTGTACTTTGAACCATAAAAATTGCAAGGATAAAGGCCTATATTTGGGTAGAACAAAACACCATCAGCAAAAACAAACACCGATTAAATCTCATTTATTAATCAAGATAAATAAACTAAATTTATGAATATTGTAAATACATCTATACCCTTTTACCAAAAAAATCACAACAAGTAGTTTAGTTATTGGACAGAAATTTAAATATAACAATTCTTACATTAGATTTCCTTAGTGTGAGAACATTTTTCATAGTTTATGTAAATAAGTTTGATATCTTTTACTTGACTGGGTGATTTGCATACAACCTCGGTCAAGTATTTGTATAAAGGATATCGGCGTCGAACAGATCTTAGATAATTTCCGAGTTTCTCTGCGTTGCAATCACATTTTATAGGATTTTCTCCCACATCTATAATTATAGGTAATTGTGACAAATACTTGTCAATGTCTGAAGGAACCATTTTTATGTCATTCTGTCTAAGATTTACAAGTAAAGGTACGAGGTTTGTTGTGGGTTTCCTAGGAATATCAAATGAAAAATTTTGTAATGAGTTGTTGGATAGATCAAGTTCACGTAGTGTAGGAAAAACATCCCACCATCTCTTAAACTGTTCTGGGAAATTCACAATTTTATTTGACCTCATTTTGATGGTCTCTAACCTTGGGTAATGTGATTTGTCTGTCAAAGTATTCATGTAGTTTTTACTAAGAGGTGTTTCAGCTGAACGTTCCAAGTATTTGAGATGTTTGTAGTTACACAAATAATCTGCAGATTTCATCCTATCCTGAAAAGCCTCGAATGAATCAGCCATGGATTTCATAGAAACATTTGGATCCTTGACCACAGGTTTGTATGTATTGTTTTTCAAAGTCAGCTTTATAAGCGTTTCCTGCCCACAGTCATTCTTTTTGTTGAGTGTGCTACCAATGACTTCTTGCATAGTTTGATAGTCAACCTCAATTTCACTATTTTCTATCTCTTGCTCCTCTAGGATGTCGGGATATTGCGATGTTGAATTCCACTCAGACATGAAACTTCTGATCAGACAGTTCTTAACATGCAGTTTCTTGAGATTTCTGGCCCGGAATGGAAACGGCAAATAAATATGGGCTCCATCAAAACAGTAAATGTTTAATGACACATCACCAAGTGGATCTGGAAGTTTTTCTAACCACTGACGAAAATTTAGAAAATTGAACCAATAGGCTACCGTGAAGTAGCAGTTTTGATCTCCATGAATGTTTGTCCGGCAATACCTGTGATAGGAATTGTCAATCAAAGAACTGGAACATATGTGCAGAATATTCAAGAGAACGGTTAACAAAACGAAAAGTTCTAGTCTCATCTTGATAAATATGTGTACTAGATAAAATTCCTTCACTTCGCTTTATATCATAACAGTTATTTTAATTATATGTGTAGGCCAATCATCACATGAAGAGCAGTCTTCACCAGTATCATGCTTCAAAATCTTGACATTTTGGAAATCCATAAAACCTGGTATGGAATATGAATTTATATAGAGATTCGTTCATATGAATTAATCATCACTGTCTGCAATGATGAATGAGTGTTTTATTGTATCACTGCTTAGCTCCACTACTCACAGGTTTAAACATATTTGATTTTTTATCAAAATACTTACATACCTAAAAAGATTGTCAAATAGTCGTAATTCCTAAGTGTGAGACTATTGCAAAGATTCTTTCTTTTGATCAATTCAATTTCATCAATCATTTCGCATTTGATTTGTTCCACCATGTAAATGATAGCTAATTCTTTAAATTTCCAGAAAAGAGAATTGCCTAGCTGTTAAACGACAAAATTACAATTCTCTGTAAATTAGTTGACTTTGATTCGTCAAGGAATATTTGTGATAAAACGCTATTACTTTCTGAACCCTCTTGCGTGATAGAACGTAGCAACTGTCAACTTTGCTTGACGACGGGTGATATTCCAAAATAATAATGCCATCACATTGCTTATGTGCCAGGTTAACTGTTATATGTATTTGTTGAAAACATTCCACATTACGTAATAAATAAGTCAAACATTGTCCTTAAAAACCTTACGCTACCGTGGTAAAAGTTCATTATTTATTATATTTCTTAAATAAAAAATATACACACAACAAAACTCCAAATAAAATATGCTAAAGAGTTTGACAAAGATGTTTAATGTTTGGGTATTTTTACTTGAGAAGAACGTTTATGGTAACCTAAACACTTAATGATAACGTGGTGACATCATATTTTCTATCTTGAATTTTCCTTATTTTGTAGCAAAATACCATTATCACCAGCATAGTTTATGATGCACAGCAGGGTTTATGTCTTCCAGCTGAGTTGATACCTAAGATAACGTTTTACTTACGAATAATATTTAAAACTATTGACAAATAGAGTGATGAATCAAGAATATCAAGGGTCCCTAAGAGGCAACAATCTGTTAATTCTATGGTCGATACAATAACCGAGTCTTCAAATACAATCTATCAATAAGACGAACGTTGGCTGAAAATTCATAGAAATTGTTAGTTTATTATTTTCATTGAGTTGTATATGGATTTTTTCTGTTTGTCCGATCATGATAAGGAGCACACGGCGAATGTAACCGGTCAACGGGAGATGCTTGTTCCTCAATAGCACCTGATCAAACCTCTGATGATGAAGAGTAGTTCGTGTTTGCACTTCATAGTTCACTGAACTACATGCATGTACTTTACAATATACTGTATTTTGAAGCATTATTTACCCTTTCGTTGATATGTACGTCATATTTCAGCAAATAGAATATAGGTTTGAATCTTTACTTGTGAAGCCTGATAGAAATAAATGACTGCCCTTTTGGCAGTTACCATTTTGCAATTCGAGGAAAGGGAAAGGGTGTATACACTAATCCAACCAAGAAAAGATACATCACACACCATATCACACACTATATGGTCCTTTTGGTTGTTTGTTTGCGGTTTTTGGTGTACCAGAAAATTGAATGCAGGACCCACACAATTTTTATCTTGTACTTTTCTCAAATTGATTTTCCATTGTGTTTCCAGGGACCTGAATTTTTGCCATGTTCACTACGGTTTTGTTTACTGGATTAATGAGATAAATCACTGCATGCACGTTATCTTTACATTTTACATTGAAATTATGGATTGTTTGCTTTTTAAAAACAGATTAATTTGGGCGAACAACATCAAGCATTGTTACATAATAGTCACGAGAAGATAAAATGCCAATTGTTGTTTGCTTATTTATTTTGAGCTTTGTACTTTAGTTGTGGTATCTTAAAGACCTTCAAACTATCATTGTAAAGTTTTTGACGTTTATGTACTTTGCAATTATGAATACACCTGTGCAATGAAAATTTAAACAAAATAAAATTCTTTTAATGCCTCTTTGTATTTTTTTCTGTATGCATTTAAATTAATCTTATTTAAAAAGGTGGAGATGACGAAGAGATATCGATAAAGAGACAAATAGTAAATATCTAAAAGAGGGTATGCTGTACTTGCATAAATTTTCGTGAGGACAAAATTTTGTTGAGTTGACATCTAAAATAGGCATTGAATTCCGTTGTTTCGAAGTAATCCTCTTAAATATATAGTCATAAAAATTTCATGTTGAAAATTTCGTTGATAACTTTTAACAACAAAATAAACGAAATCTAATATCCAGCAATATAGATAAGGTGAGATCAAGGGCCTAGAAAGAGTAGTGGCAAGAACTTCATTGTTGCATGCAATTTTTCCTCAAGTTTCTTTTTTTAACTTACATTTCCGCGAAGAAATATTGAAGCCAATTGTGTTTTATACAATAAAGATTCTAATGCAATTGTTTTGTAAAACACGTTTTGATTGGCTAATGCACTGATGTTTGAAGCAGTAAAACGAGCATTAACGAGCGTGTAAGCTTCTTCATTGTGACGTCATAATAGAGCGACGCAAAACACAATGCTCCGTGAAGTATTTCATGTAAACAACAAACAAAATACTTGGATTGCATTAGAATGGCTTCGCCGGTAAAACTCAGTTTGCGACCGTTAAATCAGCATTAACGGTCGCAAATACCAAATTAGAAGATAGTTATTCCCTAATTTTAGGTAAAACTATGCATATTTAAACAATGCTTATGTTCACCATAATTATATATCACATCTTGTGAATGTTCACCAGCAAACCAATTTCATTAAAAATCATTCTGATTCTACACAAGTACCTTGAAGTTCAGTTATATTAAAGGAACCTAAAGGCCCTACTGCGACACGGGACCTCGGTTTATACGGTCTCATCCGAAGGACCGGTCTCAACATCCCACAGTGGGATTCGAACCCGCGACGTAAGGATTGACACTTTACTTCGCGACTCCAGAGCAGACGCTCTAACCACTGCGCCACGCGGGCGACTGTTATGATCCGAAAATAAAGGGGGGACAGTCGTCATTTGACTAAATGATAGATCGTATTATCTGACAAGGTCACTGTATCGTCATTGTATCGACCATAGAAGTTTAAAATAATGACGTTCAACGGGACTGCTTATATTCTTGTTTCATCAATTTAATTGTTTGCCATTAACGTTCCTCGTTTTAGAGATTGTTCATACGTAGAGCATGATCTTTGGTATCGAATCAACTGAGACATATAAACCCCGTATCCAGGTGATAAAGATATATAGCTGGATATTCCTAGTAAATTAGGGAATTTAACGATTAAAACGTTAAAGTATTCACGTTTATCATAAAGCTTGGTTGTTAGATTACCATTAACGTATAATATCCAAAATATGAAACAGATGTGTCAGACTCTGTAGTATCTTTTTTCTCATGCTTATAGATAGATAGATCGTATCGGCATGAGAATAGAAATAGCATCGCTTAGTGACAGTACATTGTCGAAATATCAAAATGTTGAGTTAAAGCCTATCGAAAGAGAACATGAATTACAGAAACTTTTCAAAACTCTCTACCAATTTCATTAATAGGGATTTGAAAGCAATTGTTAATTGACAATACGTCGTTGATAAACCTTAATTTCAAGTTGAAGGTCACAGCAAGTGTTTTCTGCTTTTCACGTATAAGATTTTCGAAAAGTTCTGCTTTTTATGAATACAATAATAGGTACCTGTGGAAATTCAAATAGATTGTTGGAAGACCTAGTCTCAAAAAAACATGTGATTTCAGATTTTCCAAAAGTTCCTTGAAATTTATAAGTATCCACATCTGATTTACACCACTCCTTGAATATATTGTTGCATATACACTAGAAGTTTCTCCTTCACAATTGTTGATATTTTAGTGAGGAGTAAAGAAATAGGCATGGTAGAACCTTTATTGGAAACCGCTATGTATCTTTGTGAGGATTTTTATGAGGGTTTGGATTCAAATATAGATATGACAATTCAAATTCATTTTGGTTGTTGGGAATATGAAATATATTCAAAACTGATGATTTGAAGAATTTTCTCGTTAGAAAGGGAGCTGTGGGTATTAGGTGGATTAGTTCTAGTAGAATTAATTCCAGTAAATTTTGATAATTTAAAACTTCCAATCTATGATTTGGTAAAATTGAATATTCCTAAAAAAAAAAAAAATACAGTAGAGTAGAACAAATTAATGTATTTAATTCATTACAACGAATTTAAGACTTCACTTGATCGTATCCAATTCTTTTCTCTAAATTTTAGATTCGAAAAGAAAAGAGTAATACAATATGATATTGAAATTTTAAGAAATTGAATTTCTTATAACAAATTAAACCATTCTTTTCGATGAATTTATTCTGTTACATATTTTCACGTGTTAAAATGAATTCAATATTTTTGTAGCACGTTGAATCCCTTGTAATGAATCCAAATATTTTATTACAAATTTAAATTGTTACAACAAATTCAACAAATTTGATAAAAAAAAATAAAATTTCTTTACCAAATTGACCATTTACTATATTTAAGTCAAAAATAATTTTGGCACTTAGATTAAAGATTCCTCTTGCTTTCATTCGTTGGATATTTTTTGTAACAGTACATTGAAAAGTAATCCAATCGGGATCATACACTAATAGCACATTATTCTGAAGTCACTCATTGCAGTAATCTATACAATGAGTTATTAACTTATCAGGGACAGAATTCCATTATAATCGACCTTTGTGAACCTTTTTTTAAGCAAAAAACTAAACTACTTATGATTCGTACGTTGTATAACGTAAAGAAAGATATAGTGGTTTCTGGTTAGGTCTAGCTATGTCATTAATATCACACAACCCTTGTTTCTGATCCCGGAATTTCCCAATCAACAGCAAATGCGATGAGATATTATATCTGGTTCTACGTGTAATTGTCTT